TGGGAAGAGAAACTATTCCTCATGTTCCTATCATAAGGATGCTCTCCACTGTAACAGACCGCTGGCTCATCCAGGTGGTGCACACCAGTAATCCCAGGGACTCAGGAGGAAGCTGAGGCAGGACGATCACAAACTCAAAGCCTCCACAATTTACAGTTTTGTGTCAAGATTAAAAATTTAAAAATGGCTGAGGCTGTGGCTCAGAGGTAGACTCTTTGTAGGTTCAATTCTCAGTACCAAAGTACTGAAACAAACAAAACACAAACAAAAAACCCCAGATCACTGGGCTTACCAGATTGATTACTTTTCATACTCAGGGTCCAGAAGTATGTGGGCTCAAGTTTGTTTTGGTGGCTTAACACTGTCAAAAAGGACTAGACTCATCACCTTAGCTCTCCTATAGGATCCAAAAGGTTGCTGCAAATGTTGGAATACAGACATCACATCTGACCAAAGGAAATCTTTCTCTTTTGTCTTTTTTATTAGGAAGGAGCACCCCAGAAGCTCACCAGCAGACATCCCTGGGGTCTTACCTAGCTGATCACTGTTCACATGCTTAATTGCTGTGGGAGGCAGCCCACTGACAACACAGCATGCTGGGTTGGGGCTCAGTGGCAAGCCCAGCCTCTGACCCACTACAGCCTCAAACTCTCCACGGCAGTCTCTGATCCCTCTTTTTACCTTTACCTAAATATGCCCAAACATTTATGTTGTTAAAAAAAATTATCTTCATTATTGAGAATGAAGCAATAAAATATTTTTTTAAAAATAGAAAAAGGCTTCAAAAGGCAATTCCTGTTAACATTTTGGTATGTTTTTTTCTTGCCTGTTTCTGTACAGGTTCTGCATATGTAGCAAGACAAGTGACATTTAAAATGTCCCAGCAGCTTCTGCAACCTTTTAAGAGAATGGCAACATTTATCTTTAGATAAGTATCTTTTTATCTGGGAAATGCCTTGAATGGACTTCTTTCAGAGAGAATATAAGTACCATTCACCTCTACCCTGCCTTCCACTGGTATGAAAGGCAACAGTGAAACAGAGGGTTCAATTGAGACATTTTGGAAATTCCTTATGGGTAACACACAACAGAGGTAGAATGCACAGGTAGAAAGAAGTGTCAGATGCGGGGAGAGAAGGCTTGGCTCCAGGCACAAAACAATTCCTTGATAAGAAATATTTTCATTATCTGTTTAAACCACCCCCAAAATTGGTAGCATAAAGCAAAATTTATGATTTCTTAATATTTTGTGAGTTTATAAGGATCCATTGGGAAGCCCTCAATTAGGGACTCATGCAAACTTGTTGTCTGAAGACTCCAGGATGAGGTCTTCACTTCATGTCTGGTGCATCAGCTGCCTCAGCAGGAGCAATGGAGGATGGCTGGGCATCTCCCTCGCACATGGCCTCTCCATGTGGCTGACCTGGGCTTCCTTGCAGCACAGCGTCTCAGGGAAGTTAGACTTCTTTTGGAAACATGCAGTCCAAAAGGAGGAGCCACAAGCTGCAAGCTTCTTTTGACCTGTTCTTGGGAGTTACACAGCATCTTTTGTCTGAAAGTTTCAGTTGATTACAGGGGGATTGCTCCGAGTGAGCATGGGTGGGATCTATACAAAGAAGCACATCAGTGGGTTCACTAGAGGTTTTACCTTTCAAGACCATTACCACAAGAAACAACTGGCAAGTTCCTAGGAGCAGCAATGTCAGATTTTGAATTTGAAGATCTTGAATTTCCCAGGTAGTAATTATCTTTATGATTTTCAAACTATGTAAAATGCTAAAATTCACAGCAATCTTGTATTAGCGAGGCTTTGGGAGGGAAATAAAAGTAGGTGAAGTAAAGCTGAAGTTCTCTGAAAAAACAAAAAGAAAATTCATTTATATTAAAGATTCTGCAGACTGGTTGACCTTGGCTGAGTAGAATATCCTGACAGTGGAGAGATGGAATGTTTTAGCTCGAGAGCCAAAATTATCTTTGGCTATCCTAATCCCTTTAAGTCATTTGCTTTCAACCTCTGTATCTGACCTAACATCCTCCTATTTAGGTAAAACTCTGAGAATATTTCACTAAGCTTAACAGACCTGTAGCCTCCACCAACCCTAAAGCTAAAAATGCTGTAACATCTCAAATCTATAGAAAAGATTTCTCCTCTTTGCTGTAGTCTACCTACCTAAGACCCCCACCAAGTGTTTTGTAATGGTACTTTTGTTCTGTGGCTATAAAAGTTCACCTTTTCCATGGCCAAACACATCATTCAGGGTAAGCTGAATCCATATTCCTGGGCAATGGTCACTCGAGTATATCTGTCTCAGAATGAATTATTTATTTCCTCTAGAATTATTTGATATTGACAATGCCATCATCTAAGAGAAGTATGAGAAGAGGTGACAGAGCCACAGGCTACAAGGGCCATAGCTAGGAAAGGGTGGTGGTAGAGGCAGGCTGTGGCTGACAAGAATCATAAGCCACTTCCCTACTCTCTTATCTTCACACTGTGGCTTATGGACTTCCTAAAGTGTAGTACATGGGGCTGAAAACTTCTATTTGGATATTGACGAGAGGGGAAGGATCAAGGATTTGGTTATATATAAGGGTACACAGAGCTCAGACCTCATTACACATTTACCTCTTAAATCTTTATTTTAGATAAATTTGGGCTCATAACAAAAAGCCTATAACTTAATACACACCAGCATTTGCCATTTATTTTGATGGACTCACAAATTTAACTACACATGGGAAAATCCAAGCAAGGGAGTGTGATGGAGTCCCAATGAGAATTGGTCTTTGACTCACAAAAAATCCAATTGATTTAATGTAAAAGATATGAAGTCCAAGTGGATTATAGGATACACGAGCCCCAAATGTGGCTTGCCACATTTTCCATATTCAGCTTCCTATCCTTTTATCTCCATCCTGCAATAATTGCCCACCAGACCTCAAGAAAATAAGCTGCATCACCACCTCATGCTCAGAAGTATTTTCAATATAAATAGCTCAGTTCTGCCTGCTGTGCATCTGGAGAGTTGATGGAAACACAATAATGCCAAGGCCATTTAGGGTAGAACCAAGGAAAGATTAAAGAGGGTGAAAAGCAGAGCTCTCTGAGAAGGGCAAAACCCCAAAGCATCAATTCCAAGTGAGCCAGAAAAACTTCTACTTGAGCCAGCTCAAAATATGTGTTAATTTTCCATTGCTCTGACAAAATACTTGAGATGATAATTAACTTAAAAGGAGGAAAGGTGTATTTTAGCCTACAGTTTCAGTTCATGGTCTCTTGGCTTCAATGCTTTTCAGTCTGTGGCAAGACAGAATATCACAGCAGAAAAGCACTGTTCACCTCATGGTGGCCAGGACATGACACAGAGGGAGGGGTAGGGACCAGGGTCCCCATATCCCCTTCAAGGGCATGCTCCCAGTGGCCTAACTTCCTTCCATAAGATCCAGCCTTCTAAAGGTTCCACCACCTCCCAATAGTTCCACAGGCTGGTGACCAAGACTTTAGTATATAGGTGTTTCAGGGACATTTAAGATCCAAACCCTAACAAAACCACAGGCCCCTGAGTCCCCTTTCCTTTTCACACAGTAGTACAGATTACAATGATGCACTAGATTCATCCCCTATGACCTGCAGTTACTTCCTGTGAGAGGAATCCACTTCTCCATCCCTGTCACTGGGTTTAGGATTGAATTTGTTTTGGCCAGTGGATGTATATGCCACTGTATTTCACCAGCTGCTTTTTTCCTTCCCTCTATGAGAATCGTGAGTTCCAGGCAGGAGCTGCCTTTCAGCCTGTGTTCTGGAATGAGAAGACACAGGGAGCAGGACCTCAGTCAGCCACGCACAACCAGTGAAAGGCAATGTGGGTTTAAAGAAAACATGATGGTCCTCACCCCTGAGACCTAGATGTTCCTGCAGCATAATCTTGTGTGTGTGTGTGGGGGGGGGCGGGGGGGCTGGAGATTGAACCTAGGGCCTTGTGCATGTGAGACAAGCACTCTACCAACTGAGCTATATCCCCAGCCCACCTGCAGCATAATCTAACAAAAGCTAACTAAGGTGCTAGGGGTCACAGACTTAGTGCTCACAGCAAGTGAAGCAGAGTATGTGGTAAGACCATGGGATGACCAGGTTGTGGTAGCTGGGATGGACGCACAGTGTAAGGGTAGATTCCAGTATTAAACTTAGTTATATGAGTTAAAATTTAAAAAGGCTGCTGATTTGGTTAGCCACCACAGGGCTAATATTTACTACCTGAAAGGTTAAGAAACATACAGGTAAAAATGAAAAATACAATGACCCAACTGTTTTTCATAATTGTTTTAGAGATCTCCTAGGAATCTTTAGTTCAGAAGGAACAATCCTTTAAACTCTGGGTCCTCCCTACCCAGGTCTTTTCTTAGAATGAAAGGAAATTATTTTTTATTTTAAAAGTTCTCTCTAAAAATCCTGAGTTAGATTCTCAAGCTTCAATATAATCTGCAACACTGATCAAATGTAATCATCAGTCTTTAAAGTGACTTCTATACACAATGGGGATTACCAAGGGCATAAATTGATTCCATGGAGCATTTCATTTAATTGATTTTATCATAACTGTATCAGGTCTGATCCCAGGAAAAAAGAAATAGCCTTGTTATAGAGAACCACAGATTATGGCAGCTTTAATTTAGGTTAGATTTTTCATATAGGTGAATTGTAAATATCTGAGTATTACAAGAGCTGACTACATACTTTCAAGCTTTTATTTCCTGTCAAAGGATTTGATATTTTGCTCTCTTATAATTAAGAAGAAAGGATTACTTATCTCAAATCAATTCTAACAGAAAATTGTATAATCCCAGGAATATGGGGCAATATTCCTTTTTAACCTACTAGTAGCATTTCCAACAAAGGATACATCAGTGCTTCTATGAAAGCACATGGGACATAAATCAGACGTGACTTCAGACTACGTATAAGGCCCTTTTTGATTACAAACAATAACAGCAACATCTTGTTTCTTTTTTTTCCTCTTTATTCACAAGTTGATTGTTAATGAGAAAACACACAGGGTAAGATTAACATTGCAACTTGGATCTTCAGTCTTGTTTTTCTAACCCAAATACTGATAAAGGACACTCTTCTCATAACATTCTGTCCTCTCCCTTCTTTTGTGCCTTCAGAGTCCTTTCTAAAAGGAAATACACTGCCTAGCATTCTATATAATTTCTAAGTTCCAGGGGAAAAATGAAACAGATAAAGTGATATCTAAGAACACTGAGAACTATAGCTTCAAAAACAAGACAATAACTCAGATTTTCTTGTTTTAATTATTCTTTACATTACCACAGTAAAATATAAAATGAAGTCCAAGAGAGTACTGATACTCAATAAATGAACTATGACTTTCACATTAATGGGGCTATCAATAATAAACTGATCAATGAAGTAACTGGAACAAAGCTCAAATATAAAAATTGATTCACTATTCTATTATACAGTATTGAAACCACCATAATAACATTTTAAACACCCAGAAAGTTTGAAGTAACATTAAATAATAACTGGTAACTCCAAAATGCCGCAACATCTTTAAGTGCCTTCTGAATGACCAAAAACAGATATAATTAATTTTGTTCAGTATAATGTCAGTGAAGTTTTTTTTTTACACAGAACTATATAGTTTTTAAAAATTGGTAACCCATGTAAGATACACACTAAACCCTTAAGTGACTAAACTGTTCAATAAATAGAACTCCACACTGCTTTGCTGTTACGGACTAATGAGCTTATAATTAAGAAAACCCTTTTAGGAAATTCTAGTCTATAGAATGACATGTTCAATGTTTGGCCCTATTAATTTTCAGGCAAAAACCTGATTCCTTTATAAGATATTTAATTCCTCTGAATACCACTTTTAAGGGACTTGAATTTTGTCAAAATAAATCACTAGTAATGTGTGGCCCTCCAATCTATGTGTTCTCCATGATCTCAGTTCAGTGTGAGCCAGCACACTGACTTTTCCATGAGTTCTCCACAGCACCAACTTTAAGACTTTTCCACAAAGCATCCTGCCCTTCTCTAGATTTTTGGTAGAGTGTAAAGTTAATAATGGCATGTGGTGTTCCTTAGCATAACCTGCCAAAATGTGATGATTTCCTTGGAAGAAAAGCCATGGGCTGCAATCACACGTCTGAGTTGACAGACATCCAAATGGATTCTATATAAAAAGAAAAGGTTTGTGTCTTCTGGAATATGAATGTCCACTTTTAACAAATTCAAACAGATCCCGACATAAACATCTTCGAACTTGATGGGTTTTACATGACCCATCATTTCATAGATCCTTGGCACCAAATCTCTGGACATTATATAACCCAGCCCACTGCAGTAGGGAGGGAACACCTTGAAAGGATACTCCTGGTATGAAATATGGTTTTTCTGGTAAAATCCTCTGTAGGAGTAATTATCAATGAGAGGATAACCTGTGAAAAACTTCTCTGAGTGGTTTAAATTTAAAAGATACTTCACTAAATTACCAGTATTGATGAAAACGTCAGTGTCTGTCTTCATGATGTACTTGGCATTGGGGCAAAACTCAGTTACCCACCTGAAAGCCATAATGGTTTTCAAGGTCAGGTTGTTATATGTGTCTAAAAAATCTTGTCGTATTATGTCACCATAAAGAAGGTGCTCCTCTTCTAAGGACAACGCTAACATTTTGTCTTCCCTTTCAGCTTGCTGGCCTAGTAAGAAAAATGTAAGAACCTCATATCCCCACCAAGACTTTTTTTCACCCCAAGTAACCCTAATGGCCTGCCTGGCTTTCACATCTGAGGGGTGTGAGGTCACTAGGATGACCAGAAATGGGTTTTGATGAGAGCAGTTTGAATGCTCTCGAAGTGTAAAGCGAAAGTCTTGTCTATAAATTGGCTCATACTCATAGAAGTACATCCAGTTCACACGCTCTATCACGTTATAGTGGGGAAGGCTGAGGTACCACATCACAAGGAAACTCAGGAGAGACAGCAGCAGAAGGCTCCACTTGAGGGATCTCAGTGACATCCTACTGGGAAGGGTAGTTAAGAGAGTCAGGGCCATCCACAGCAGCTGGGAAGGACGTAAGGCACAGGTTCTAGAAGATTTATAAAAAATTGGGTTAGCACTCCACCATTCAAAACATATTTTCAATTGGTATTTGAGAACAAAGGATGCAAAGCAAAACCCCAAATCCTGACTTGAATGAATCTACTTAACTTCATTTAACTATAAGCAAATGATACCAACAATCAAAAGTGTACTTTAGCTTTTACATCAAGACCAAGGTTAAGGCATATCTTTCAATTATTTTGAAATGAATACTTCTTATCCTATACAAATAACTGTCTTTTATGAAATACGATTTTTTTCTTAGATGCCTGGAAGGACAGAAAGAGATGAGTAATGGTAAATTTAAAAATTAATCTACAATAAAAACAAATGAAATTGTGTTTCTTCTCTTTTTGCTGCCATGGAAAAGAAAATGCAGTAAACGGTTTGATGCAAGGATGTATTACTAGCAACATGTCCAAATAAACCAAGGGTCTTTCTCAGCTGTATGATCTGATTCTACCAAATCTGGAGTAAGGGAAACCCTATGGCAAAAAAATATTTTATTTATACCGCCACTCTCCCTCCTTGGTTGTGTCTCAATTTCCTGTGCCTTTTGTATGTTGGGAAATGGTCTGGGTGTCACTGCTGCTCATAATTAGAAACCACTGAAAGCCCCCAATGAAGCATCCAGGGGAAAAAGTCTGTCTTTAGTATTGAGTTTTCACGTTTCCCATTCCAATCTATTCAGAAATCACACACCAGATCAGAATCATGCAAGGGAACACTTCTAAGAACACTTGCTTTTACCAAAAGTCCAGTTGAGACAAGGAAACAGAGCTATGTGATTCAGCACCTTCAGACTGGCTTTCGCTCTGGCTCCAGACCCCACAGGGCTTTTGTGCGCCTATGGACGGCCCAAGGTCAAGAGTGCCTAAATATTCACTGGACATGGTCTATGTCAACAGATTGCACCAAACACTAATGAGACCAAAGGAAATAGGTCTCTCTAGGAAGAAAAGAAAATCCCAAGGCAACAGTTCAACGTGGCAGGAGAGTACAGTACAGACTGCTTCCATCAAATGCTAAGGAATTTCAGTGAAAGGGGCAGATTGATAACATGAGAAGGAGGAGGCTGAGGAGGCTTCTCATAGCTCTCCCTTCACCAACAATTATCTGGGCAATGGTTCCTGGGAATTCAGAATTTGCTGTAGAGGATGAACATTAATGTCAAAGCTTTTACCTTGGAATGACCTTAGGGTGTCTGAACACACAGCTTTTCTGCCTCTTCATACATATGAGTATGACCAGATCTTAACACGCCTTGCCTTCTCCATGAGGCCATACTCACTTGCCCTGATTACTTCTGGACCCAATAATCTTTTCTATTTTTATTGCTTTCTACATCTGAAGTCACACAATGTAATGGAATGTTTCAGTAAACTGTCCCCTGTTTGGTCGCATGTATATACATGTCTTGTCTCCTCACTTACATTCTATTGTCTTTCTTGGCAAAAACAATTTTTCTCAAGAGTCAAAGCACAAGACAGAGGAAGGCCCACAGAAAGAGTGCAGTGGACACTGACATACTATTTGCATTTGAATAAGAATACTATTGTAGGTCTGTCCACCCAACTCCCATCCTCCTCTAATCCCTTAATAGCCATAAACAGTACATGAAAGAAGCAGGAAATAGGATAGTTTTAGAATGAAAATTTTAGAGGTAAAATTAACACTAGGTTTACATGTTTTTTTCCTCACTCGTCTACTCACTCCATGTCTACTCACTGCATGACCCTTAGGGGCAACATTTACATTTCAGCCACGGACAACTTACACATTTATTACAATAGTTGTAAAATGCCAGTCTTATGTCTCAGTCTAACAAATCAGCATAGTACAACAAATTTCATAGAAACAAGAGGAAAGTGTTCTAAGGTGCACCATTTTATAATTGCACATGGGCAATGGAGGCCCTGTTACTCTTCAATAATGGGAAGAACTAAAAACAGCAAGTCTTATTACAATAAGTTATTTTTCTACATTCTATAACCCATGGTTTCTGAAAGTGAAAAGGTGACAATGGTTATGATATTCACTGTGTATGGGCTCATGAAGAAAATAAACCAGCAGAAAAAGAGAAGTTACCCAACCCCAAAGTGGGAAAAGATCAGACTTTCAGTCACCGACTACACAGGTGGCTCTGAAGGCAGAAAGACCAGAGTCCACACTCTGTCCTTTACCAACCAGGGCAGTGAGGTTTGTTATGATCCTTTCAGAGCCTTGGGTTTCCTGTCCCCCTGCTGGAGCCATCAGTACAGTGCAAACAAATGATAATACATGCAAGGCCTCTGGGCTGTGATAGGTGTCCATCAACAAAGACCTGTGCTCAGCTGCTGTTCCCCCGTTGGCACCTACGCCATCCTATCTGTGTTCTCTAAATTGATTTTTATTGTCAAAAGGGATTCTAAAGAAATAATCTTGAAAAATCTATATTACTTGAACAACAGTACATTTAAAGGCCACAAGTCTATTTCTATTTCTTACCTTCTTAATTTATTTCTTCTGAGGACCTTCAGTTTCACCCAGTGAACATTCAGCAGAAGGCAGTTGTCAAAAATAATGCTTGAAATTTCTATAAGATATGTAAGAAAAACCAGCATTCACCTATGAATCAAGGGATTAAGAGTCAAAGAGAGTAAGGGAAAAGACTAGGCATTTTCTGAACTAAGAATATCTGTTTAAATAAAAACTTAAAAAAAAAAACTACTTGTTCACAGAATTCACAGTTGATGGTATCATCATGCCAAAAGGACACATGGCATTAAAAACCAGTACAGACTCAAGACTTAAATATGTATCTAGGGGTTGGGGATTTTCTCAGAGTTAGGCTGCATTGCACAAGGCCCTGGGTTTTACCCCTAGTACTGAGGCAAAAAGCAAACACCTGTATCTACATTCTCTCATCCCCTGGTATCTTCTGTCGCACTTCTTTGATAAAGAAACGAGGTCACTAAAAGAAGTACAACAGGCAACTACAGTGAGACACTCTATTTGTGTCTACTCTTTCTCTGATCCATAATCAAATTCACAGAAGGCAGCGCTGATGTGCATATGCCAATTACCCCTTTGCAGCCCACTCCTGCCCCTTCAGTATCTCTCTGTTTGTGAAAACTCAAAACTTAAGACACATTAATAAACTGACAAGCAGCAAGGCACAATTGAGTCTGCTTATATCTTTTTTTTTTCCTGCTGGTCAAGTTTAAAACCAGAGGAGGATATGAGAAATGGGGAGACACTGACATATATCACTCCTTATACCGAAAACATACTCCACAGGCACTAAAGAGTCAAAGATGGGAGAAAAATAAACCTGTGGAAACACCAAAATAAAATATGGAATTCTCATAGATTAATACAAAGATAAACACGAAAAGAAATGGCCAACATGGCAATTCTCAAAAGAAGAATACAAATGGTTACTAAAGTAAGAAAAGATGTTTGTGATAGTTTGTATATTGAATGTGTCCCAAAGGGTCATGTGTTAAAGGCTTGGTCCCCAAACTTTAGTAGGTGGGGCCTAGTGGAAAAAAGTCAGGGGGCATGGCCTGGAAGGAGATTCTGCAACCCCTGCCCTTCCTGTCTCTGCTTGCTTCCTGGTTGCCCTGAGGTAAACAGGCCTCCTCTGTCGCTGTTCCTGCCATGATGTATGTGTTGCCTCACTACCAGCTCAAAACCAACAGTCAAACGACCATGGACTGAAACCTCTGTAACTGTGAGCCAAAATACTACCCCTCTTATTCTGGTAACAGAGATTGAACCTAGGAATACTTAACCACTGGGCCTGCACTTTTTTTTTTTTGGAATCATGACCTCGCTAAGTTGCTGAGGCTGGCTTTGAACTTGCGCTTCTCTTGCCTCAGCCTCCCAAGGTGTGGAATTACAGGCAGGTGCCACACTGCTGGCAAACCTTTCCTTCTTAAAAGTTAATTATCCCAGGTATTCTGTCAGTGATAGAAGGCTAACACAATGTTCAAATACAATGAGAAGAGATATTCTCACAAAAAATTCCAAACTAGCTCATTTAAAAAAAAATACTAAATAGCATGCATGGGGGGGGGGGGAGAAATTCTTGTGGACATTCTCATATACTGTCTAGAGACATTTAAAAACATTTTATTATAACCTTAAAATTTTTCATTTTTTATGGATATATTTGTTTTTATTTATGGTGTATAGTGTTGTAATTCAATACATGGATAAAATGGGTAATGATCAGATCAGGGTTAAAGGCATTTTCTACCTCCTCAAATATTAGCATTTCTATGGGCTGGGAACCTTCAAATTCTTCTCTTCATTTATTTTGAAAGGTATAATTAATTGTTATAAACTATACTTACCACACTATGCTATAAGACACTAGAGCTATTCCCCTTTTTAACTATACTTTGGTACTTATTATTCACCTTCTTTCTATCTTCCTCCCTTCCACTTTTCCCTTCTTCTAGTCACCTCTCTTCTACTCTCTACTTGTATGTGACCAATTTTTTTTAGCTTCCACTCATGAGTAAGAACATGCAGTATTTGTCTTTCTAAGCTTGGCTTCTTTCACTTAACTTAATGCCCGCCAGTTCCATTCATGTTGCCTCAAATGACAGGGTTTCATCCTTTTTATGGATGAATAATATTTCATTGTGTACGTGTACCACATTATTTTTATCTATTCATCCACTGATGGACTTCTTGGTTAGTTTCTTGGCTAATGTAAATAGGGATATAATAAACAGGCAGGTGTCTCTTTTCCTTTGGATATACTGAGAATTAGTACTGCTGAATCATGCCTCAATAAAAACAAAGCCCAAAACCTGGGTTTAATGCCTTCATGTCTCAAAGTTCCACTGAATGGTAATGACCTTAAGCTAGAAGTTAGGATCCTGACTTTTATGTTGTCCTGGTTTTCCCCTAAATCTGTGATCATGTATAATTCATGACATTTTTATTAGTTACTATTCTCCATTATTTCAGTACATATTATTTCAACACAAGAATAATTTTAAAAACCCATTTAAAACACTATAATCTCATAATGTCTCTCTTATACACACATACACATATACATGAATAGGTTTAACAGTTTATAAAGTGTTAAAATAAAGTTATTCCCCCCCGCAATAATCCTGTATGGTAGGTGAGATGGTTTTATTAATAATTATTTTGTAGATGAATTTTAGAGAATTCAGATGAAATGAAAATGAAATAAAGACATCTTAAAACAGACTAGGACTTATAAAGCCCTCATTTTCTTGCTCAAATAAGTCCTTTTTTAAAAAAAATCTTTATTTTTTAGTTGTAGATGGACAATACCTTTATTTGTTTATTTTTATGTGGTGCTGAGGCTCAAACCCAATGCATCACACATGCTAGGCAAGTGCTCTACGACTGGAGCCATAGTCCTAGCCCCAATTAAGTCCTTTAATACGAAGAAAAACTGAACTTGGGGAAAGAATGGAATGTAAGAACAATAAATTATTAAAAGATACTGAAAACTAATAACTATAAACAACAAGGAAGAGAACAAGAGAACAAAACCAAATTTATTTCCACATGGTTAAAAAAAAAGGTAAAATCAAAGTCAAAAATGATATTGTGTCTGCAAAAAAGATGTTTCAGAGGAAAACTAAAATATACTAACACACTTGGCCAATCCAGGAGGAATAAGGAGATATTGATAAGCCTTAACATTTTGCTAAAAAATTCACTGAAGAACGTATATTAAGGTGGGCCTGGTGGTGCACACCTATAATTCCCAGCAACTCAGGAGGCTGAGGCAGGAGGATTGAAAGTTTGAGGCTAATCTCAGGAACTCAGCAGGACCCTGTCTCAAAATAAAATGAGGTGTGGGTATAGCTCAGTGGTAGAGAATGATGGGTTCAATCTCCAGTATCATAGGGAGAAAAAAAAGAATGCATATTAATCTTCAGATTGACCATTGAAGGAATGAATTTGGAACATATGCCTTCTAAACTGAGAAAAGAAACAAAGCAAGTTATCTATTTAATGGAAGATAGGAAAAAGGAAAAAAAAAAAACAGAGAAAATGCATGGTCAATGGAAAACATGAAAGATGACAGAAGTAAATTTAAATATATTGTTAACTAAGGTAAATAACTCACCTACTAAAAAGGAGGCCTTCACAGACTGGCTTAAAATTCTGCTATAAACTGCTTATAAGACACACACCTAAAACAAAATAATACAAAATGTTTAAATATTAGGAAAAAGGAAAGAATATTATCAGCTGAAAATGCCAACTAAGAGAAGGCTTCTATAGTTAAGTTTTGACATCACATATGTATTTTTTAAATTTTTATTTGTTCTTTTTAGTTATACATGACAGTAGAATGTATTTTGATGTATATACATGGGTAATAAATTTTTGTGGTTGTACATGATTTAACATCACATATTCTAATTGAATGGCAACAAAGGGAATTATGTTCCTAATAGAAGGAACTATCCAAAAAGATAATTTACCAATCAAGAAGCTATGTAACCATGGGGTTGTGGCTTGGTGGCAGAATGCTCGCCTAATCAATGTGATCCTGCAACCTGTACACGTGGAAAAATGAGAATTTATACCCCATTTGAATCAAATGTATGATGTCAAGATCATTGTACTGTCATGAGCAACTAATAAAAAATAAAATAAAATTTAATGAAAAAAAAAAAGAATAAAATGGGCTGGGGACATAGCTCAGTGGTAGAATATCCCTGGGTTCAATCCCCAGCACTGGGGTGGATGAGGAGTCAGGGAGAGGTAATTAGGTCAGGGGCTCCAGTCTTATGAAGGTATTAACATAGCTCCCCTGACAGTGGGAAGAGTGAACTGTTACTCCTCAGTCCCTCGTACACATCTACTCCTTCTGTACATGTCCATTTCCACTTCCACTTTCCTGCCACACATGGATCAACATATGGCCCTCCTCAGAAGCCAAGCAGATGCTGGCATCATGTTCTTGAACTTCCAAAACTATAAGCTAAATACATATTTTCTTTTAAGTGTTGTCCAATCTCTTGAAAAATGGTCTAAGACCCTAAGTAACTGATATAGCAAGCAAACAAAAATTAAGAATGTGTTTCAAATAATATTATTAATAATCTTGATCTAATAGAATTATTTAGCATCTTTCTTTTAATAAAAAGAAAAGAAATACAGTAGGCCATCCATATCCATGGGTGACACGTGTATACAACCAACTGCAGATAAAAAATATTAGGAAAAATGTCTGTGCCAAACATGTGTAGGCTTATTCTCTTTGCCATGATTCCCTAAACAGAGTCTAACAACTATTTATGCTGTATTAGGTAATACAATTTACAAATTATTTAAAGTATACAGAAGGATATGTATAAGTTACATATAAATACCATACTGTTTTATATATGGGCCTTGAGCATAAGAGGACTTTGGTGTCCACAGGGGTCCTTGAACCAATCCTTCACAGATACTGAGAGACTACTATACTTTTTTAAAGACTGTATAAAACATTTATCAAAAAACTGGTATCAGATTACACAGACCACTCAATAGTTCTAAAAACACAACTGAGTATAGGCTACATTCTGTAATCACAATATAATTACAAATCAACAACAAAAATGTATGAAAAACATTTTAAAAATTTGTTTAGGGCCTGGGATGTAGCTCAGTGGTAAATCACTTGCCTAGCATGCATGAGGCCCTGAGTTCAATCCTTAGCACTGTAGAAAAAAAGTTTTGTTAGAAACTTAAAATAATCACACACACAATTTTGGTTTAACCCACAAATTTAAAGAGACTATCACACTATAAATTATTTCAGATATCTGCAGATGAACAGTGACAATGCAGTATATCTCAATGAAGCAGACATTACACCAATCCTTAACTTGAAAATTACTGATGAGGTGGGGAGACAAGTATTTTTTTTCCTGGTTTTAAAGAATGATCTGTAGAGGAATAGACAAAGGGGAATGAAAGGAAGGGATGAGGGAAGGAATAGGAAAAGTCAGTGGAATAAACCTGACCTAACTTTCCTATGTATGTATACAAATTTATGACAGTGAATCATCATGTACATCCATAAAACACTAATTTTTTTAAAAAAATCTGTAAGTATACAGCAGAAAGATTAGTAGAACCGAGGGAACAGAACAGGAGGATGGGAGAGGAAAGAAGTACTGGAGACTGAATTAGAACAAATTATATTCTGTGATTTTATAACTATATTGTAGTGTGTTCTATTATTATGTATAACTAAAAAAATGATACAATGGAAATAGGGGTGCACACCTTAATCCTAGCTATTTAGGAGGGCTAAAGCAGGAGGACTGCAAGTTCAAGGCCAACAGCAACTTAGTGAGACCCTATCTCAAAATAAAAAATTAACGGAGCTGGGGACATAGCTCATTGGTAGAGCACCCCTGAGATTCAATTCCTAGTACAAAAATCATCATCATATCATCATCATTACTTGTTTTTCAAGGGAAGCAAACAGCTTTGGTTGAAAAAGGAAAAACTTTTTATAGAAAAACGTAGATGGAATGACAGAACAACAAAACTGCCTCATTTTGCAACATCTCATGAAATTACAGATTCAGTGTTTTAATCAGTGTTTTGATCATCAAATTCAGGACTGATGAAGAAATAAACATCTGTGTAGTACCAAAGGAATATCACAAAGATTACATTTTTTAGATGCAAGGACCGAACAGATATAAACTTTACATTGTAGGATGAGGGTGTCATAACTCTAACTCAATGATCAATCTTAACATTATCAATGGTGGAAAAATACATATTATCTGTCTCCTAATGAGATAAAACATGAACAATATTACTTGTGATGTATCCTAGTTGAAAATATTTGATTGAAATCTAATCAAGTTTTACAAGAAATACAAAAGAGAAGAAATACATAAAGAAATATATAAGATATATATATATATATATATATATATATATATATATATATGAAATTCATAAGCAAAGAAATACCACGAGAAAACAATCAAGGGAATCTAGGAGGTGGGTTTTAGGAGAAAATGAGCTAGTTTTTTCAGCTAGTAGTGCCATGAAAAAAGTAATGGTTCCAGATTAAAAGAGATCCAGGGACAGATACAGTTGCAATGTATGGCCCTGGCCTGGATCCTGCAGAAATTAAAGACAATCCAGACATTAGGTGATTCAGGAAGAATTATTTTGTTAAGTAAAATAATGTCAACTGGCTATAAAAATTTTTTTGAATTAAGACAATGTGGCATGGCCATACAATTGGATATTACTCACCTGAAAGAAGAAACAAAGTTCTAATACATGCCAAAACAAATATCAGTTGTAGAATTCTTAAATGCATGTGTCTAAAAAAACTTACACAACATTTAAAAAGTTAGACACTCAAAACCAGATAATGTGTGAGTCACTTTAAATATTCAGAAAGGGAAAAAATTAGGGGTATGGGAAGGGGATACTAGGGATTGATTCCAAGGGCATCTACCACTGACATACATCCCCAGACCTTTTTATTTTTCATTTTGAGACAGGATCTCACTAAGTTGTTGGGGTTAACTTTAAACTTGTAATCCTCCTGCCTTAACCTCCTGAGCTGTTGGGATTACAGGTGTGCACCACAGTGCCTGGCCAAGAAGAGAAAATCTATAAATACTAGGTCAATAATTGCCTGGTATGAAACTGGGTCTGATTGCAAATGGGCATAGGGAATGGTGACATTTTAAAATTGTGTTGTGGATGACTGAGCATGTTTAAATTCAGTAAACATTACTGACCTGTTCACTTAAAATAATTTTATGGTCATGTCAACTATACATCAATGAAACTGTTAAAAACAATTTTAAGTTTACTATTTTTAAGAGTCAAACACTGATGAATTTAGCAGTAGGATGTCAAGAACCTCTGTGTACTTTAAAATAATTCAGTAATAATAATAAAAAGAATTAAGAAAGACAAAAATTTCCTCTCATATTTCTGTTGGCATACAAAATGCAAACCTCCAATGGAGGACAATGGAAGTACATACTCAAATTACAACACATTCACCCCTTTCATTAGTAATTTTGATTCAGAAATTTATTTCAGATGCAACTTCGTATGTCCAAAATGATGTATGTATGTAAGATTACTCACTGTAATACTGCTATAGCAAATAATTAGGAAAACCCCAGAGATTTCTCATAAGATATCTTACACCAACTATGCCTCGTACATCCTCACAACTGTATAGCCGTTTTAAAGAAAAAGACAAGAATAAAGTCTGACATGGGAAGATTTCTAAAATATATTAAGGGAAGTGAGATATGGAACAATGTTTATAATGTGTTAATTTTTATGTCAGAAAGGAAAAGAAAATAAAAAATATTTATGTGCGCATGAGAAAAAATGATAGAAAGACACACAAGGTAGGCAGGGAGGAATGGGTGGATTAGGAAAGGGACGAGAGCAAGACCCTTTAACGTAACACCTTTTTATATTATTTTGATTCTGAAACTATTTGTGCTACGTATAAACACACCAGACATAACTTAATCAGTCCTTATAGAAATTTAATGACCTTCTAAAGACAAAGTAGTTCTTAAAAAAATTGAATTACCTTTTATTTTTATATTCATTTCACATATTTATTGGTATATAATTTTACATACAGTAAAATTTACCCCCACCTTCTTTTTTAAGTATACCCTTTTTATCATGCTGTTTTGTAAGTTTTTAGTCAGATAACCACCAGCACAACAAGACAGAAAAAGTTTCATCTCAAAATTCTACTTTGTGTTGCCTTGTAAGAAAGTCTTCCTCCCATCCCCAGGCAACCACTAATCTGTTTCGTTTTGCTTTTCTACCGATACAATGTCACATCAATGGAATCACACAGTATCCAGTATACAATCATACAGTAGGCACACTTCTAAGTCTGGCTTCTTTAATTACCAGAAAAAGACAGATTGAAAATAAGTGAGCTAAATATTTAGCTCAAGAAGTTAATAATTACGATGTTCTTTCAAAGAAAATAAGATGAATAATAAAGTAGAAAATAATGAAATAAAAACAATAAAGATGATTATCACATAACAAGCAAACATTAGGATTAAAAATGTCCAAAATGATGTATGTATGTAAGATCATTCACTGTAATACTGCTATAGCAAATAATTAGGAAAACCCCAGAGATTTCTCATAAGATATCCTT